CACGCCCGGTAGGGATGAGAGGTAGCGTTGATTGCACCACGCCCAGTAAGGATGAGAGGTAGCGCTGATTGCATCACGCCCAGTAGGGATGAGAAGTAGCTGTGCTTGCACCACGCCCGGTAAGGATGAGAGGTAGCGCTGATTGCACCTCGCCCAGTAGGGATGAGAGGTAGGGCTGATTTGCACTACGCACAGTAAGGATGAGAGGTAGCGCTGATTGCACCACGCACAGTAAGGATGAGAGGTAGCAGTGATTGCACTACGCACAGTGAGGATGAGAGGTAGCGATGATTGCACCACGCCGAGTAAGGAAGAGAGGTAGCGCTGATTGCACCACGTTCAGTAAGGATGAGAGGTAGCGATGATTGCACCACGCCGAGTAAGGAAGAGAGGTAGCGCTGATTGCACCACGTTCAGTAAGGATGAGAGGTAGCGCTGATTTGCACCACGCCCAGTAAGGATGAGAGGTAGGGCTGATTGCACCACGGCCGGTAAGGATGAAAGGTAGCGCTGATTGCATCACGCCCGGTAAAGATGAGAGGTAGCGCTGATTGCACCACGCCCGGTAGGGATGAGAGGTAGCGTTGATTGCACCACGCCCAGTAAGGATGAGAGGTAGCGCTGATTGCACCACGCCCGGTAGGGATGAGAGGTAGCGCTGATTGCACCACGCCCAGTAGGGATGAGAAGTAGCTGTGATTGCACCACGCCGAGTAAGGAAGAGAGGTAGCGCTGATTGCACCACGTTCAGTAAGGATGAGAGGTAGCGCTGATTTGCACCACGCCCAGTAAGGATGAGAGGTGGGGCTGATTGCACCAGGCCCGGTAGGGATGAGAGGTAGCGCTGATTGCACCAGGCCCGGTAGGGATGAGAGGTAGCGCTGATTGCACCACGCCCGGTAAGGATGAGAGGTAGCGATGATTGCACCACGCTTAGTAAGGATGAGAGGTAACGCTGATTGCACAACGCCCGGTAGGGATGAGCGGTAGCGCTGATTGCACCACGCTCAGTAGGGATGTGAGGTAGCGATGATTGCACCACGCTCAGTTAGGATGAGAGGTAGCTATGATTGCACCACGTTCAGTAGGGATGAGAGGTACCTATGATTGCACCACGTTCAGTAGGGATGAGAGGTAGCGATGATTGCACCACGCTTAGTAAGGATGAGACGTAACGCTATTTGCACCACGCTCAGTAGGGATGAGAGGTAGCGCTGATTGCACCACGCTCAGTAGGGATGAGAGGTTGCGGTGATTGCACCACGCTCAGTTAGGATGTGAGGTAGTGATGATTGCACCACGCCCAGTAGGGATGAGAGGTAGCTATGATTGCACCACGTTCAGTAGGGATGAGAGGTAGCGATGATTGCACCACGCCCAGTAAGAATGAGAGGTAGCGGTGATTGCACCACGTTCAGTGGGGATGAGAGGTAGCGGTGATTGAACCACGCTCAGTTAGGATGTGAGGTAGCGATGATTGCACCACGCCCAGTAAGGATGAGAGGTAGCGCTGATTTGCACCACGTTCAGTAGGGATGAGAGGCAGCGCTGATTTGCACCTCGCCCAGTAAGGATGAGAGGTAGGGGTGATTTGCACTACGCACAGTGAGGATGAGAGGTAGCAGTGATTGCACTACGCACAGTGAGGATGAGAGGTAGCGATGATTGCACCACGCCGAGTAAGGAAGAGAGGTAGCGCTGATTGCACCACGTTCAGTTGGGATGAGAGGTAGCGCTGATTTGCACCTCGCCCAGTAGGGATGAGAGGTAGGGCTGATTTGCACTACGCACAGTAAGGATGAGAGGTAGCGCTGATTGCACTACGCCCAGTAAGGATGAGAGGTAGGGCTAATTTGCACCACGCCCAGTAAGGATGAGAGGTAGGGCTGATTTGCACCACGCCCAGTAAGGATGAGAGGTAGCGGTGATTGCACCACGCCCATTAAGGATGAGAGGAAGCTGTGATTGCACCACGCCCAGTAAGGATGAGAGGTAGCTGTGATTGCACCACGCCCAGTAAGGATGAGAGGTAGCGGTGATTGCACCACGCCCAGTAAGGATGAGAGGTAGCTGTGAATGCACCACGCCCAGTAAGGATGAGAGGTAGCGGTGATTGCACCACGTTCAGTAGGGATGAGAGGTAGCGGTGATTGCACCACGTTCAGTAGGGATGAGAGGTAGCTGTGATTGCACTACGCCCAGGGAGGATGATAGGTAGCAGTGATTGCACCACGCCCAGTAAGGATGAGAGGTAGCTGTGATTGCACCAGGTCCAGTGAGGATGAGAGGTAGCTGTGATTGCACCACGCCCAGTAAGGATGAGAGGTAGCTGTGATGGCACTACGCCGAGTGAGGATAAGAGGTAGTCCTGATTGCACCATGCCCAGTAAGGATGAGAGGTAGCGGGGATTGCACCACGCTCAGTAAGGATGAGAGGTAGGGCTGATTTGCACCACGCCCAGTAAGGATGAGAGGTAGCTGTGATTGCACCACGCCCAGTAAGGATGAGAGGTAGGGCTGATTTGCACCACGCCCAGTAAGGGTGAGAGGAAGCTGTGATTGCACCACGCCCAGTGAGGATGAGAGGAAGCTGTGATTGCACCACGCCCAGTGAGGATGATAGGTAGCAGTGATTGCACCACGCCCAGTAAGGATGAGATGTAGCTGTGATTGCACCAGGTCCAGTGAGGATGAGAGGTAGCTGTGATTGCACCACGCCCAGTAAGGATGAGAGGTAGCTGTGATGGCACTACGCCCAGTGAGGATAAGAGGTAGTCCTGATTGCACCATGCCCAGTAAGGATGAGAGGTAGCGGGGATTGCACCACGCTCAGTAAGGATAAGAGGTAGGGCTGATTTGCACCACGCCCAGTAAGGATGAGAGGTAGCTGTGATTGCACCACGCCCAGTAAGGATGAGAGGTAGGGCTGATTTGCACCACGCCCAGTAAGGATGAGAGGTAGCTGTGATTGCACCACGCCCAGTGAGGATGAGAAGTAGCGCTGATTGCACCACGCCCAGGAAGGATGAGAGGTAGCGGTGATTGCACCAGGCCCAGTGAGAGGTAGTTGTGATCATGCAGTCATTATGTTGATCAATGCGAGAAAGGTGGAGGGGAGAATGACGCAATGGAAACGGCACAGTCAGTATGAGATCGATAGAAACCCGATAGCCACGCCAAACACAGTTGAGCTGGTCTCTGTGTACGTGTTACTAATGTATTTTGTTCTTTGTTGGAAAGTTATCGGGTGTTTTCTCATTTAATATCAAACTTTCGACGTCATCTGGGACATGTATATGACGTTGATGGTTTGAACTTGTTCGTTGAAACAGTTACGTTCCCTGCTATGTATATCTGGATGCCTTGTGACGAGGAGTGCTTGTGCAGGTTTTGACTGACTACAACACTGATTTGCAGAGTCATTAAATTTATTCCTCATATACAAAGAGCCCTAATGTTTTTAAATATTAATTATGCTGCAATTTTTTTATATGTTTTCCCAAAATTGCTTCCATTGAATACAAGGCATTGCTATTTTGCATTGTGCGAAGGTTTCCAAAGTATACTCAAAGATAAAAGTTATTGTGACGTACAAAAAACGCAAAGAGAATCGGTCAAAACCAATTCTATCCCATGGAAAGAACAATGTCTGAAGGAATTGAAAAGAGTGAGTGAGTGAGTAAGGTTTGACGCCGCTTCTAACAGTATTCCAGTCATATCACGACGTGTCAGCTTAATGTAGGAGGAAAGCCCGAAGTGATGCAGGTCTAATATGTTAACCCGAGCACGGGCATGGTGCTGACAAACCTAGAAACATAATTGGGACGAACTGGGATTCGAACCCACAACGATAGGTTTCTGGCGTGCCCAAGGGACGCAACTCTGCACAGTCAATTGCGGCGCCTTTGACGACTGGGCCATCCATGCCCGCGTACTGAAAACTGTTCATCCCATATGTAAATGAGTCCTGTCACAGGAGAGGGTTCAGAGGCAAATACACTGTCAGTGAGTGTGTCCACATTGTACATCGATGCTGGCCTGACACCCTCGCTCTATCGAGACCACTATACGTTGAAGAAAGGCCCGGGGGATGACATTCTATAGCCGAGGAAGGCTACGCCGGAGCTCCTGCAACGTTGTTGGGAGATTTGGAGTGAGTGAGTGAGTGAGTATGGTTTTACGCCGCTTTTAGCAATATTCCAGCAATATCACGGCGGGGGACACCAGAAATGGGCTTCACACATTGTACCCATGTCGGGAATCGAACCCGGGTCTTCGGCGTGACGAGCTAACGCTTTAACCACTAGGCTACCCGACCGCCCCGGGGAGATTTGGAAGACGTCGCACACATTGTTGTATTTCATCAAGTCATGTTCGATTGGTAGCAGATCAAGAGATCTTGGGGGACTCTCCTCACATAAACGCCTCAGTTGCCAGGGATGGTACTGGCTGTGAGAAGTGCTGTCTGGAACATGTGTCATGGATGCGTGGTTCGAATCCACCATCTACCACCATATGACGAGGGGTTGTCATGTGTTGGCGGCCGCTACGGGGACGTTATCTGGTGTTCCTGTGGACGTTGAATTCAAGCATTCCTATGACTCCCCATATGTCATCCCCTTTATGCCAAACGCCAGGCTGGTAAACTAGCTTTAACGTCTTTGACGCGCCGGGGATCGAACCACTGACCTCCCGCTTTCTGGGCAGATTCTATCCTAAAAAAAGACCCGTGAAGATTCCGGGGTAGAATAGGTCTTCAGCAACCCATGCTTGCCGTAAAAGGTGACTATGCTTGTCGTAAAAGGCGACTAACGGGATCGGGTGGTCTGACTCGCTGACTCGGTCGATGCATGTCATCGATCCCAATTGCGCGGATCGATGCTCATGATATCAATCACTGGATTGTCTGGTCCAGACTCGATTATTTACAGACCGCCGCCGTATAGCTGGAATATTGCTGAGTGCGGCGTTAAACAACAAACCAAACCAAACCAAAACCACGCATGCAATTTGGTTGGTTGCGTTTCTTAGAGCTTTTTTCATAAAAGGTTTCCATGATTCAAATCCAAATGTCAAAAAATGATTTGTAAGTGGAAACCACCAACGTCACAGAAACTTTTGACTTTGAGTATACAAACAATATTTCATTCATTTCCTCAAAACTGTTACTTTCGTAATAATATGTATAGCTTGCTACAGGTGAGTACCACTGTGTGTTAATTAATACATAATTAAATCAATAATCAATACCACGTCTATTAACACGGATTTCCATTTCCGTCCAGTGTCAAATTATCGCAACATATGTCAATAAATCGTGATATACATTTGTTAAATAACAAAGACCCTCGTTACGGCAAAATGAAGATTCAGTTAATTAAGCAGGCTGCGTATACCATGGACTCCAGCCTGGTTGGCGCGGAGGTAATTACTGCATAAAGTCAAATCGATACAGCACCAGACGCAGGCTGAGCGGCCCACGTGACCCAGGGTAGGGGCGAACATCATAAACTTCCGCTCAAAGACCGCGTTGATTAGAACGGAGGTGGAGCTGCTTGAGAGTGGCACACGGACAGGTGAGTTCCCAATGGGCGTTGGGGGTAGCAGAAACCATATAATATGTTCTCTGGTGGTACGTTGGATTCTTTTTTGAAGTTTGGGTATTTAAATGTATCTAAATTCATTTGGGTGGTGTCTCTTATTATTTAAATATGCACAAATACATTTATATGTAAAAATGTATATTACATATACTGTAAAATGAACGGAATCAAATATGCATTGTCTGTGTGTATACATATTTGTATTTCTTTTACGTGTTCATTTTTATACCATATTCTGACAGTGTCTGGTCGATCTTCTCGAAAACCAGCGTTAAGACTTTGAATGTGACAGCAGCAGAATGATAATAGAATGTTCATCAAACTACGGTTATTACAAACTCAAAGGGACCACTAATTTTAGTTCGTTATAACAGTAGTTCGTTATAGCGTGTTGGTTGTATATGGAAAGGTGAGAGGACTGGATATTAGATGGTATGGAATACGTTGTGGGTGGGGTGGGGTGGGGTGGAGGTTGGGTGCTGTTGCACATATTTAATTGTGGGCCGTGAAGACTGCTATGATATGTCATGCTCGTTTCAGTGTAGTTGCTCATTGGCTTCTTGGTCATGAACGCCTTCTGTGTGAAGTCACCTGGGCGTGACCGATAATACACGCATTAGTTCCTGATTTGGGGAGAGGGTCTGATGACAGTAGCAGTATTTTAATTATACCTCGGCATGTCAATGGCAGGAGAGGGCTCACGGAGAAACCAAAATGCATGGGTTTTCATGTGACAGTGTGGTGTGTCAGTGTGGTGTGACAGTATGGCGTGTCAGTATGGTGTGACAGCATGGTGTGACAGTATGGTGTGACAGTGGTGTGACAGTATGGCGTGTCAGTATGGTGTGACAGTATGGCGTGTCAGTATGGTGTGACAGTATGGCGTGTCAGTATGGTGTGACAGTATGGCGTGTCAGTATGGTGTGACAGCATGGTGTGAGAGTATGGTGTGACAGCATGGTGTGTCAGTGTGGTGTGACAGTATGGTGTGACAGCATGGTGTGACAGTATGTTGTGACAGTGTGGTGTGTCAGTATGATGTGACAGTATGGCGTGTCAGTATTGTGTAACAGTATGGGGTGTCAGTATTGTGTGTCAGTATGGTGTGACAGTGAGGTGTGACAGTATGGCGTGTCAGTATGGTGTGACAGTATGGCGTCTCAGTATGGTGTGACAGTATGGGGTGTCAGTATGGTGTGACAGTATGGGGTGTCAGTATAATGTGACAGTATGGTGTGTCAGTGTGGTGTGACAGTATGGCGTGTCAGTATGGTGTGACAGTATGTTCTGACAGTGTGGTGTGACAGTATGCCGTGTCAGTATGGTGTGACAGTATGGTGTGTCAGTGTGGTGTGACAGTATGGCGTTTCAGTATGGTGTGTCAATATGGTGTGACAGTATGGTGTGACAGTATGGCGTCTCAGTATGGTGTGACAGTATGGTGTGACAGTATGGTGTGACAGTATGGCGTGTCAGCATGGTGTGACAGTATGGTGTGACAGTATGGTGTGACAGTGTGGTGTGTCAGTGTGGTGTGACAGTATGGCGTGTCAGTATGGTGTGACAGTATGGCGTGTCAGCATGGTGTGACAGTATGGTGTGACAGTATAATGTGACAGCATGGTGTGACAGTATGTTGTGACAGTGTGGTGTGTCAGTATGATGTGACAGTATGGCGTGTCAGTATTGTGTGACAGTATGGGGTGTCAGTATTGTGTGACAGTATGGCGTGTCAGTATGGTGTGACAGTATGGGGTGTCAGTATGGTGTGACAGTATGGGGTGTCAGTATAATGTGACAGTATGTTCTGACAGTGTGGTGTGACAGTATGCCGTGTCAGTATGGTGTGACAGTATGGTGTGTCAGTGTGGCGTGACAGTATGGCGTGTCAGTATGGTGTGTCAATATGGTGTGACAGTATGGTGTGACAGTATGGCGTCTCAGTATGGTGTGACAGTATGGTGTGACAGTATAATGTGACAGTATGGTGTGACAGTATGGTGTGACAGCATGGTGTGACAGTATGTTGTGACAGTTTGGTGTGTCAGTATGATGTGACAGTATGGCGTGTCAGTATGGTGTGACAGTATGGTGTGACAGTGTGGTGTGTCAGTGTGGTGTGACAGTATGGCGTGTCAGTATGGTGTGACAGTATGGCGTGTCAGCATGGTGTGACAGTATGGTGTGACAGTATAATGTGACAGCATGGTGTGACAGTATGTTGTGACAGTGTGGTGTGTCAGTATGATGTGACAGTATGGCGTGTCAGTATTGTGTGACAGTATGGGGTGTCAGTATTGTGTGACAGTATGGCGTGTCAGTATGGTGTGACAGTATGGTGTGACAGTATGGTGTGACAGTGAGGTGTGACAGTATGGCGTGTCAGTATGGTGTGACAGTATGGCGTGTCAGTATGGTGTGACAGTATGGGGTGTCAGTATGGTGTGACAGTATGGGGTGTCAGTATAATGTGACAGTATGGTGTGTCAGTGTGGTGTGACAGTATGGCGTGTCAGTATGGCGTGTCAGTATGGTGTGACAGTATGGTGTGACAGTATGGTGTGACAGTATGGCGTGTCAGCATGGTGTGACAGTATGGCGTGTCAGTATAATGTGACAGTATGGTGTGACAGTATGATGTGACAGTATGATGTGACAGTATGGGGTGTCAGTATAATGTGACAGTATGGCGTGTCAGTATGGCGTGTCAGTATGGCGTGTCAGTATGATGTGACAGTATGGTGTGACAGTATGGCGTGTCAGTATGATGTGACAGTATGGTGTGACAGTATGGTGTGACAGCATGGTGTGTCACATCAAGCTTCATAATCAGGTGGAATCTTGGATTTGAACCCGCTAAGAAACGCAACTGGGCCACTGGGCTCCGGGTTCCGGACGTCTATGGGGCTCCTGAAGACCACCGTCAGGACGTCAGTACAGCTGTCTACAGGCACCGCTCACCCACAGACACTATCCCATACACTGTATACTTACTGTCTAATCTTACAAACTCTGGCACAAAAGGGAGACTTAATAATGACTTTCAGTTGTATGTAGCAAGGGTTTGACATTAGTATGTACAACCTTGTTGGCGTATTTCGTTGTTGTGGAGATGGACTGTCGTTGAGCGGGAAGTTATTTAATTTTTTTTGTTAGTTTCGTTGCTTGTTGAAAACAATGTAACTGGCTGATACGGTTTTAAGGCGTTTTAATCTGTTTTAAGCTGGATCAGGACGCATCTAGGTTTATCCCAGTTGTGATGGTGGTGGGGATCCTCGGGAGGATGCAGAAACTATACACGGAAAAAAGATAATAGTGGCTTTGGCGTAGAATTAGGTTGAACTGCGCAAATTTTAGGATACCTCAAATTAAAAATTCCTTAATAAGTCGTGAATGGGAGGTATGCATACTTGTTACCCCATTTTACTTTTAGAGTAGCAGAGGCGAATAATTAATCAATCATACTTTGTCATGACAGGAAATGGGTAACTGACATTCTACCATGAATTTGGAAATTACTCGATTCTGATTGGTAACAATAATCACAGCTGGTTTTACGACCGCATCACCGCGGAAGCTAATATTCATAGAATAGGACTTTTTTTCAGTCATTGTCGGTGGGCGTATTTGAGCAATTATACCAACAATTATCGATTACAAAATGCAAAGTTACGGTCACTTCAAAATTCAAAGGATGCGTGGCAATACATTTCATGCAGAAAACATGATAAAATCAACAAAGAGAGTGTAATTGAAGTTTTGGGGACAACAGAGAGCTTGGAATTTGGCGCTTTTCTGTATACGACTGTGACATCATATCTTTTGCGTCACAATGAGCGATATGATGTCATAATGGTGACGTTCGGTGTAGAACGAAAGCTTTGTAAAGCTTGCTTAGTTTTCTTTAGGGGTGCCCACCTAATGTCATCTTCCCGAGGCAAGTGAGTTAACTGACTATAAAAGTCCAGTTTCCACCCTTGCCGAACTTGGCTGGTATTATGGAGTTACATATTGGCTGGACTAACGACTCTATGCGTAGTCCAATCAAAATCGCGCACCGAAATCGAAATCCGGTTCGTAAAGTGTCATGCAGATTTCGGTCGACTGCAGGATTTGCAAAGCATGTGCACCGCTAACTCGTTGTCAACAGATATTTTCTAAATCTTTTCATGTTTTTAATCAAGGTGCTCACGTGATTTGATGCACTTCGCGCTGTAAGACTCGTTTTATCACAATATAGATCTTCATTATCGATCAGACCGCCTTGACTGGGCGCCACCGTTTTGTTTGAAGCAAATGCAAGTGATACGAGAGGTTGAATCTGATTGGTCAATAGGAGAGGCATAGAAAGGACATAACTCGTAATAGCCACTGGTGGCGCTACGATCGAGTTCAGTAATTCCAGCCTAGTTCGGCAAGGGTGGAAATTGGACTTTTAAAGTCAGTTAACTCACTTGCCTCGGGATGATGACCTAATGTTAGCTTTCCAAGATGCCGTGCTTATATGCTTTAAATGCCTGTCATATGTTCGAGTAGACTGTTACTGAGTAAAGAAACTGCCAAACTGTTTAAAGACTGTTGTCGGGGAATCCGTAATTCACATCGACAACCCACTCAAAACACTGGACTCAACCCAGTTGGTTTGAAATAACTCAGAATCTCATTAACAGTGATTCATAGTCAGTGTGACTATATCTCCACCCCGAACCGTTCCTCTTCACTAAATAAGTGCACCATAAACGTTATGAAGTATTATTTGAAATGAGACTGCTGGCACAACCTCATTGCCAACGGAATCATCCTGGAGTATTTCTGAATACCGCCGTTTTTAGCTGAAGACGAGTCGGCATTGTACGAAACGAGATAATCTGGGTGCCTGCTCATTTTTGTGACCGATGATCATGTGGGCTTGACAAAATGTTGTGTGCAGGTTTTACTGAATTATGTGTGTGTTGCGAGCACTTCAGCAACAA